CAATTCCTTTCCATTTCTTCATGTTTGATAGAACTTAAGAAAGCGAACGACCCCATCTTAAGGGATTGGTGGGCAGGAGTGGGACAAAATATCGCAGATGTGGGCAGGAGTGGGAATGAAAATTTGCAATTCTTTGCGTGCGGGAGCGGGACTGAAAATTCTGTTCCGCGCAGACCTCTAGCGAACACACTACAAGTAAAGTTACGCAGTGCAGCTTTAAATGTTATAGCCAATGTTAGATAAGTCTGAATGCCATGGTCTACATTAAACCTATGTCAATATATGTACAATAAGTGGCCATTCTCACTTGGGTACAGTTTCATAAATCATTTTTAGTGAATAATTTATTTGTCATTTTTGTGTGAGAGTTGACCATTTGCTTGCTGCTTGCTTGCTTTGCCTGGAATGTTCCGCAGTAACACATTAAACGCATCTATCTCCATGGAGACAAGCAGATGATGTTGCCAGGCCAAATTCCGGGTCATGTATTTCTAAACAATAAAAACAGTAATTGAATAAATGCACAAAAGCGGAACATTAAAGGCAAAGCAAAATCATCTGCACAGCGACAGAGCCATCACCCGCAAAGTGACACAGTGCACCTTTAAAAATAAATAATACATTAGCTTGGCAACTGTATAAAGTGTCTGTTTTAGCAAATTGATTTCTTAAGTATTCCAACAAAACAGCACAATCTTATCCTGTACGTTTTATCCATAAAGCGTTTTCAAATTGATCTCACTAAAAGAATCTGTAAATAGCTATAATGGGAACCAGATCGCCTCTTTGAATGAGACGTACTAAAACCAGGCAAAAACCACACTGTCCAGCTCTATAACATCTAATTGCAAAGATAATATTTTAATTTTTGCTGTAATTGACTGGATAAATTGCACACTTCTGAGTCTGGGTAATGACTTCCTTATGGGATCAGCGCAGGTAACGCCGGCCAAATGAGCACTGAAGGATTTTAATCAAAGCCATAGATATAATGAAACGCACTCACAGACGTGCTACTTTTTTATATATTAATTTTGCTTTAATGGTGTGCATTAGGTGATTCTGCGGGCTTAATAAACCTGAAATAGCATTGAGAAAAAGTCAATAAGGAATTCAATTACCTTTGAACAACATGAAAAGTGGGAGCTTTATTCTCACTGCTGGCTCTTTATTTTACTTCACCTGAATGTATGACTTTTATATACTGTGGAGGTGTTCACATTGTACACAACAGAATCCAGTGTAATTATGCTGTCTGGCTCTTGGAAATATAATGAATGAAATCATTGCTGGGTTCCCTGATAACACAGAGAGCCAAAACCTAAAAAGCACTGTGTAAAAATCTACAAAAATAACAACGGCTGTCCTTATATACCATTTCCTTTTCCTTTTCTTTTTTTATAGTAGCAAATATATATTTTATACCACAATGCCCATTTGGTTAATTAAATTAACATTCAAAGTAATTATTAAAATGTTATTAAAATATTAAAATTAAGTTACTTGAAAGAAGAAACCAAAAGAAAGCAGACGAAAAAGGTGCCCAAATTATTTCACCTTTACAATATGTAATTTATGTGAAATAAACCAAAACTTTTTTTTTCCTGCAACATATCCATGGGTCTCAGGATGATGAAAATGTAAAAATATATAAATAAATACAATTTTAAAAAAGCAATTAACAAAATATTTTATCTTTTGAATGGTAAAAAGTCCTCAAAATGTCACCTAAGAGGAAATTATAAAGCATATAGTACAGCATATTGAAACTGTACTAAAAACTAAATATAGTACAGTAAGTATAGTAAATTAATATAGTACGTACTTAAAAAAAAAAATAATAATAGTAAAAATAAAAATAAAAATAAAAAATCAAGAAGGGGTTTAATTCAAATTTAATCAGAAATCTTCATTTACCTTGAGCCGTATTTACTAAGAAACCAGATCTTGACCACTTGTTTTCCCACAACATATCCACTGGTTTCAGAATGATGACAAAACTAGGACTGTTGCCATAAAAATTTACAATTTAAAACTAAAACTAAAAATGCTGTATTTTATTTTTTGACTCTTGAAAATTCCTCACACTGTCAGAGGACGCTGAAATCCATGGATCGTATATACGGTACATTTCATACAGTCTAAAATAAATCTAAGAGTCTGTTTACATTTCAGAAATCTTAATAATTTGACTAGAGGCATTACTTTATATTTAACCCAGATTTTGGCCACTGTTTTGCTGTTACCGTGTGAACACATCCACACTCTGCTCCTCTATAATCTCTGTGTCGCTCTCTCTCTCTGTGCTGCCTGTGATGTCTGTGGTTTGTGGTCTCTGGCTGACAGCGCTCCTCCTCGTCTCTCTGCACCTCCCTATGAAACCTTCTTTAATCTTTAAGTTTATCAAACCACCCATCCCCCACCCCCCCCCCCAACACAAACACACCCGTAACACATGCACAGAGACTCCCCTAAAAGTGGCTCGTATGTGGACAGCCGCTGGACATGGCCTAGCATAGTGATGGCGTGTCAATATAGAAATCTTTACGTGGATTCGTAAACAACATGGATGATAAACATGCACTTACTTAGGCACATGCAAAAGGTGAAAGGTCAATCCCGAAGATGTGAGGAGGGAATATGTGACAGCTTAAAGAAGGGAGGAGGAGGAGGAGGATGGAGGGGGAGAAGGGGAAGGAGGGAGTGTGCGAGTGTCCATTTCTGACCTAAATCTTGATTAATGACAATCCGCTGGGGAACAATCTGTTTTCTTTGGTTTTGGGAAAGATGCCCATCGCTCGGTAAGCTTTTAAATGATGAGAAAACAAGAGAAGAAGTGGCAGGGCTCTGGGCAGGGCTAACAGAGCAGAGGAAGAAGCACAATCCCAATACTTACAAAAGATGCTGTGATGAATTAGGAGTCACTGGGGAGAGGCTTCGCTTTGGAGTGTTTAGTGATATTGACTTATAGGTCAATATATTACTGATGTGTTGTCAAGTATTCTACAGAAGGAGGCTAGAAGATTATTGATTATAACTGTTAAACAGGTTTACAGAGATATTCCATGGAAATAGCAAAAGAAAATCTGGACAAAAGTTTCTTTTGCTATGGACCCTACCTGGACCAACTTTTTACCACTTCAGTTTCTACTGTTGAACTGTACATGCAACATAATTCTCATGTGTTTTGTCTTTTCATTACTTAATATGCAAAACAGTCACTATTAAAATATATAACACCAAATTTAAAGTAGACCTACTACGTAAAATTTACTTTTTAGAGCTTTTAACCTTGTCATAGTTTATTCCCCTCTCATTTTCGTACGAATTAAAAAAAAAAAAACTATTTCTTAATGTTATGTGTGCGGACCACTCCCTCTCTATGAGTTTTAATGTGGCCCGAATGGTGGGGGAAAAGTCCAGGGTCGTCTTTTAGTCGCAGTCCGCCCCTGCATTAGCCTGATTCATCAGCTGGTTTCATTTCCTGGAAACTGTCTGACCTCGCAGCATTAGGATTCGTTCGCTCAAAGGTAGGCAGATACTTTTTAAATTAACCAATCACTGCTATTTGGTCGTGACGTATGTAATGCACCAAATCCAGTAGGAAGAAGAGCAATGTCTTAACATCTTTCTGTCTTTCCCCTTCCAAACATTCTCTTTGTTCCGGCTTTAAATCTTCGATCTGGGGAATCGTTGCCAACACAGAATGTATGGCTTCGTCTACATCCATCTCAACCACTTTGTTTGCCGTTGTGCTGTACCACAAAAGGGACCCAGACAGGAGCTTGAGATTGATGTCATAGCTTCACATCTCTTCACTGATTGGCTGGGGTTCTTGCAAACTGTCTAGTGTAGTCCAATTCCTGACCTAGTCGCTGAAGAGAAATGGACATGAGCATAGGAGTCGCTGACAAGTTCACGACTCTTTGTTGTAATGACGTTTACAGCGACGTCAGCTCCCAATGGGCACTTTATTGGGCAACTTATTTCTTTTATTATTAAGGAGTTTTAAATAAATATTACAAATTAGAATGTCTGAAATTAATATTAAAATTTTAAATTTCCACAACATTATACGATAATAATGCATGTAGGTTATATTTTATAAGTATATAGCAGACACAAGCACAATAGGTCTTCTTTAAAGTTCTCTTTGAGTAACAAATGAATAAGTAAGAAGTGAGAAGTAGGTCTAACATTAATGTATATTCTGTAACTTAATTAGTGTTTTATTTTTCAGTCCATTAAAGCGTTTTCATGTATTCAGTATTCTACAATTGTAGTTTAAAACAGAACCGCTCTGGATTATAGACCTGTGAATTCAGTTGTTGTGAGTTAATCAAAAGTTCACAGTCTTTACAGTCAAACAGACTTGCAGACTGAGGTAGAGAGGGGACAACTCTCCAATCAATGTGGTGCCATGCCAACACGCCAATACGACACTGAAGACACCCATCTCCACAGTGAACCTCTCTTGTTCAATACACTGCTTTAGTTCCTTCCAGGCAGTCGTAACAGGAGCCATGGCACCTCTCGGCTGCCTCCTTCTCTTCCTCGGGGGCGACTGGTTGACGAAGATAATACCAACCCAGGACCGAACACCAGAGCAGATTATATTAAAAATGACCTCCTGTGACATTACGCTACTGGCAAGGTCCTGGCACCTTAATAAAGTCTAGATGCCATTTATTTATAATGCATGGAGGAGGGGAAATACACAAATGACACAGCGGATTCAGGGCTAGCCTCGTGTTATCTAGATGGTCGCGATAAGAATTAATATGCTGGCGTGGCATTTCATTCCCGAATATTGTTTATGTATTTATCTAAAAACAGTTGTGCAGTGGTTGTACAGAAAAAAAAAGATTAGATCAGATATGAACACAAGTTTGGAGGGAGAGTGGAGGTATGGGAGGATGAGAGGAGGAGTTGGAGGGGAAGGGGCATCGCAGGCAGAGCAAAGCGTCATGCAGTCTCAGAGATGGGTAAAGTTTACTTACTAACTGGACCAATGTTATTAGGGACACCTGCAAAAGAGAAGAGACAAAGACAAGTTTATACGAAGATCATTTAAAAGACCGATATTATGCAAAATTTACTCTAGTGGAGCTTTTAGCCATGTTATAATGTTGTTACCTCATCAAAAACAGACCTGGAGCCGTGTTTTGTTTCATTCACGCATGTGAGTAATCCAACATAATTAGGCTGTCTGCTTCCTCAAAGATCAAAATGCTCTGTTCCACCTTGTGATGTCATGAAGTGGTAGTTTTCAAGTTACACAAGCTACTTTTTACCTTTTGTTTAGTAGAGATTGAAAGTTCCAGGGTTGCAATGATCCAAATGATTCTAGTGAAGGTGTATGGAGTTTAAAAACACAGTGGAGCACTTCCTGTGTTATCAAAGAGACATCAAAAGGTGTTTTCAGTTTGAGAGAAAAACTCGGCCTGGATATGCAGAATTTGTGTGTTAAACAGTGTTGTTTTTAAAAAAAAGTAATTATCGAGTTATTTTTCATGTTATGGATTATTGCCCGAAAAACAGAGTTTGACTTTAATGCAGTGGCTCTGTTTCCATCTTCACTAGAGCTCACGCTAACTACACCGGGGCTCGGGGTTAACAGCAGTGAGAGGTGTGTTACATATGACGATGTGAGGCACTTCATTAGATTCAAGTTACTTGAGGCAGACGCAGACAGAATTGTTTTCCCAGAGCACAGTGTACACTTAACATACACACTCTTGCCCTTTATTTCAATGAGGGAGAAATAGTGTCAGTATTTTCAGTTTTAAAACGCTGCCTTTGAATGCCCCTGGCTTGTCGTTGAGTTTGTCTTATTTAGCCTGAAGTGTGCGGGTAAGAAACAACAAGGCAGCGTGAACAGAGACTCCGCCCACCCAACTTCTTAGCCAATCATGTTGATCCTGCTCTCTCCTGAGCTCTCCCCGCTCCTGCTAATGATGTGTGTCTGTCATCAGAAAAGAGTGTAATATGGACCATTTTTTTAGAAAATATTTGAAGCAAGACATGATCCTACTTGCTGATATGATTGTGTGTGACGATGCCGTAATCAGAGAGAACACTGTTGGATTTCATTGAGAAGTCAGTGAGTAAGGCAACCAAAAGCATTTCTGAATAAAGAAAAGTGCTACAATACAATCCAATGCGTTTTTGCAAGTATGAAAAGCTGTCATTTAGGATAAAAACACATATAGAACTAATGTGAAGAAAGTTTAAGTTAATAATATTATTTTTAAAGTAAGAAAAAGAAACAGTGACCACGAAGCCTCTAAAAACGTTCTTGAAGTTGGACCACTGCTTTAGAAGTTTTGACTGACAAGTAATTTTGCACAATGTTGGAAAGTAGCTACAGCACAGGCATACAAACAAGTGGAAATGTTTCATATTGTAGCTGGAAGCATCCCATATTTGTTTTTATTGCTGGTTTAATATCTGCACTGTTGGGACTGCCATAAAAGGTCAGTCCTGTCCCTTTGCTCAACTTTGTATATTACTATAAATTACATTTCTTTGGGCTGAGTTTGACGGACACTTGGACATTTATGCTGGTATTTTTCAAAAGAATGTTGGGTAGGAAATGCTGAGAGACATTTCAGATTTGCACACGGGCTTGTCATGTGCTCACAGAATAGTACACACGATATGAAAGAGCAGCGGGAGGGCATCTGTGATCTCTGTCCCTCCATAAGAATCCCTCTGTGTTCAGGACAAACCCGTTACCATGGAGACCCAACGGGATGCTGTCTAGGCCTAAACGTGACAAGGCATTTTGACTTCAGGACTAATATACTAATAAGGGATGGATACCTCTATATGAGCACATCAAGCTTAAATTAAGAATCTTTTTTTTTTTATTAATTTTTTTCTTTCACAAAATATAAAAACACCAACAGTGTCACAAAGTTAAACACACAAGAAATTCATGAAAAGGAAATGTCCTTCTTAGTAACCTGTATTCTGCTTTCAAATAATTTTTCAATTTCAATGCCACAATGGATGACGATATCCAAGTTCATTTTTTACTCATCCAGGCATAGCAATACTCAAAACAATATTAGGTCAACTGGATTTATTTATTTTTTTCCCGTTTTCAAAAATAGTCTTATAAAAATCCTATGAATAGATGATACACACATATACAAAACTAAACTAAAATAAGTAGTAGTAGTAATGATTTAAATGGTAAACGGTCATATTTTTATATAGCGCTTTTCCACATTCAAGGCACTTTAAGTGTTTTACATCAAAGAACCATTCACACACTGTTACAAACCAGTGCTGGGGACAAAGGAAAGTAACACAAACAAGATGTGAGTGGCTTTTATAAAGTGAAAGTAAGTACAATGACAAAAATAAAGGTCTTTTACATTCGAAAAATCTAAAATTCCCAATACAACTAAACAATAACTCTAATGGGATAAATGACTCAAAGAAAATACAAATGCTCAAGGGCCAAGCCAAACTAGCAATTACTTAAAACTTTGTAAACAGCAGACAAAAAGAGATGTGTCACTGAATGTGGCAAACCGAAACTGAAATCCAGCCACGAGGAGGGACAGGCGCACAGCACTTTTATTGGATGTGGCGATAGATGTGTAGGAAGGAGACTTGAGGATTGGGACGTCAATCCTCCAACCACAGCACGAAGGACATTGGAGCCCGCCCAACTGCAACGGGACCACACCCCACCAAACAGACGCCAGGTTCAACACAGCACATGCAAATACAGAAGGCACAAGCGCGAGCCATAACACACACACATTCACATTCACACACCAGTGTACACAGACACTGGGGGTGAGGTGGGTTAACTGTCTTGCCCAGGGACACAACGACAGCATTTATCTGTGGGAGCTGGAATCACACCGCTATCTGAACGCTCAATCATTGATGTTTATGTCGATGATATTCAAACTGAACCAACCTTCGAACCAGTGGACATTGACAAATATTCTACCAACTGAGCTACTGTCACACGATTTTTTTACTTCAAGATCTCTGAGAAGATGCCAAAAAAAAGGTATCATATTAGAAACAACTGCATATTTGTCTTTGTTTTAGTTGCAGCTCTCTTCTTGTTCTTATTTCATATCAAATGCATTCAGCGTATGATTCTTTCTGTAACAATGTAAAAAAGTTCCAGTGCTCCATGTTTAACTTTTAGCACAGTTTTGATTTTGGTGCAGTTTGGGCCTTTGCGGACTCAGATGCCAGCTCCACTTGTGATAATCATCCGTTTGAACAGGGCCCCTCCTCCCTCGGCGGGACCTGTGCCCTCAATAAGCCTGTGCCCACTGAAATAAGCAGAGCACAGGCACTGCAGCCCAGCACACCCAATGGGCACAGCGCAGGAGGTATTAAAAAGGTGATTTCTTCTTCTGTTTGTCTGAGGCTCATATACTTTTATCATGTGCTAGTCTACGCCATAAACACAACAAAGGACCGAGCAGAAATTACAGCAAAAATAAATTGTTTTCATATAAGACATAGAAAGCAAAGATATACTGAGTTTGTCCATAAAAAGCAAATGGTGATGCACTTTTTCTGATCTGGGTACATGAAGGAAATGACTTTTAAAGATTGTAAGTATATTATTCACAATCAACTTTTAAAGCCTTTTAGAGTTATAATGGTTCCCACTTATCATTAACTCACGGCTCGCTAACTCGGGCTGCAGCTATCCACAGACGAGGCCATTAGCATCCAGCAGCACAGCAAAGGAAAGTGTAAAAATGGGTTATTATCTTGGTGTAAAAAAAAAAAAAAAAAAAAAAAAACATTAAAGGACTATATTACACTATTTTCTGATCTGTTATAATGTTGTTTCCTCATCGCAAACATACTGGAAGTTGTGTTTTGTTTCATTTACACATGTTTAACATACAAACTCTGCATATATTTTTTCTGAGTTCTTCTGTCAAATGGAAAACATTAATAATAGGAAGAGCTCCACTGTGGTTTTAAACTCCATACACCTTCACTAGGATCATTTGGATAATCATAGCCCCAGAAATGCAAATCGCTACTTATCTAAAAGCAAAAGGTAGGTGTTAACTCGAAAACTACCACGACATGGCATCACAAAGTGGGACAAAGCATTTTGAGCTTTGGAGATGTAGACAGACTAATAATAAAGAGTTACTCAAACATATGTGAATGAATCAAAACACTAATCTGATTCATCAGCCGGTATCTCTTCATAGAAACCATCTGACCTTGCAGTATTAGAATTTGTAGGCAGGAACTTTTTTTATTTAACCAATCACTGCTATTTGGTCGTGACATATGTAATGCACCAAATCCCATAGGAAGAGGGGCAATAACATCTTTCCCCGTGATAAAATTCACCAAACATTCTCTTTGTTCTGGCTTTAAATCCTCGATCTCGGGAATTGTTGTCAACACACAATGTCTGGCTTCATCTATACCAATCTCGACCGCTGTACCATTAAATGGACCCAGACAGGGGCTTGAGTTTGACATCATGGCTTCACAGCTCTTTGCTGATTGGCCAGTGTGAGGTCTACAACTTCCGGGGTTCTTGCAAACCGTCTATTGCAGGCATGTCCCAAGTATGGCCTGTGGGCCAATTGCGGCCCTCAGACAATTTTTTCTTGGCCCTCAGGCTTCCAGGTGAATTGGCCCAAATTACCTTGCATCAATAAATAATGAATTATTTACTGCAAGTTTTTTTGAAAATCTACCTTGGTAAAGCCAATATTTAATATTTAGTGTGTGGTTTTGAGGATCTTAGCATGAATAAAAGGTCATTCTAACATTATAAACATGCACATATTTGTATTATTCACTGTACTGTATTCACCTCGTCTGTGTTTAGATATGTGGCCCTTGATGAAAAAAGTTTGGACACCCCTGGTCTACTGTATTCCGATTCCTGAACTAGTTGCTGGAGAGAAATGAAATTTAGTGGAGGCACTAGGTGGCGCCAGCCTGATTCATCAGCCAGTTTCACTTTGTAGAAACCATCTAACTTCGCAGCGTTACAATT